CCAGGCATGGTGGCACACACCTGTAGTTCCAGCTACTTGGAAGGCTGAGATGGAAGGATCGCCTGAGCCCAGCAGGTTGAGGCTGTGGTGGCTGTGAGCCTGCCCCTACACTCCAGCCTGGGCGACAGAGTGAGACTCCTACTCAAAAATAAAAATAAATTTAAAAAAGAGACAGGATCTCACTATGTTGCCTAGGCTGGAAATTCTTATTTTTGCCAAACATAAAAAGTTGCCACATAATTTTTTTTCTCACCTGCACAAATTAAATCGGAAAGTGTTAACTATACAGACCAACTTTGGAATGCAAATTTCCTTACCATTTGTTAAATTTAATAGCATTCTTAGGTAGATCTTATATGGGTTAATAGTTTAGCAAGATTAAAAAGACGAGATCAAAAGATTATACTTTGAACTAATTTAGTCTTCCTTGTGGCAAACTTTTTGACCAAAATCTCTGAAAGTCCTGAATTTTGTGTTATGGTTGGCAAAATTCTAAGAGGGCACCCAAGATTCCCACCCTCCAGTATGCACACCTATCTAAATTCTCCATACTGGGGTGTGCACAGGACCTGTGAATACCAAGGACGTCACTCTGAGAAGGGAGGTTACCCTGGGTGAGCCTGACATAATCGGAGACATGCTTTAAAAGTCAAAGTGATGTGCTTGTAGTCCCAGCTACTCTAGAGGCCGAGGTAAGAGGATCACTTGAGCCCAGGAGTTTAAGACTGCAGTGAGCTGTGACTGTGCCATTGCACTTCAACCTGGGTGACAGAGCAAGACCCTGTCTCTAAGAAAAAGAGGAAAAAAATGTTTAGGTGACTCTTTTAAGAGAGGATATACTTTATACGAGTCTGTAACATTTTAGCCCATTTTCTATTACTGCAAGTCAGTGGTGACTTTCACAAATTAAAGACCCTTGAATAAGCAACAGTTAACTCTGTTCATTGAAGAAAATATGAACCAGCAGAAACCTGGAAACAGCATAAATGTCCGTCAAGTTTGGGAATGGGTATATAAGTTATGACACAGTCCAACAGGGGAAACCATAGAGCCGTTAAACAAATAGAGAGGAACTTTCTGGATTATCTTTGCAATATTTCAAGTCTAAACTAATTCCAAAATACAAAGGTTATCTGAAAAAATAATAACAGATGGTGCAGAAACATCTCCACGTGCAAAAGATGAAATTGGACCCTACCTCTCACCATACACAAAAATTAACTCAAAATGGATTGTAGACCTAACTGCCAAAATTCACACTATCAAACTCAGGAGGCTGGGCGTGGTGGCTCACACCTGTAGCCCCCAGCTCCTCAGGATGCTGAGGCTGGAAGACCTCTTGAGTCCAGGAGTTTGAGGCTGCAGTGAGCTATGATCACACCACTGCACTCTAGCCTTGGCAACATACCAGACCCTGACTCTTAAAAGAGAGAGAGAAACTGGAAACGGTAGAGAAATGCAGTTCTCTTGACCTTGAAGAGGGAACCAGCTGTTTTGCAAACTGCCTATGGGGAGGGGTGGCTGAGGTCCACAGTCCTGCAGATCTGAGGAGTCAATTCTGCCAGCAATCAGAGTGAGCTTGGATGGAAACTCCAAGCCTCTCAGTCCAGCTGACAACTTGTGAGACCCTGGACAAAGAACCTGGTCACAGCATACCCAGACTCCTGACACTGTAAGATAAGCCATGGATGTTATTTTAAGCTGCTATGTTTGTAGTAATGTGTCAGGCAGCAGTAGAGAGTGAATACAGCTATGAAGTATCCTTGTCGAAATGTCTGCCCTGTGATAAGGATGTATCCATGTAGTTTCATCCTTTGTAACAAATGCACCACTATGGTGGAGGTCTTAATAATAGGGGAGGCTGCACATGTGTGGGGATAGAGGGCACATGAGAAATCTCTGTACTGTCCACTCGATTTTGCTGTGAACCTAAAATGGCTCTTAAAAAATAAAATCTAAGCCGGTGTGGTGGCACACGCCTATAGTCCCAGCTGCTAAGGAGGCCAAGGGAGGAGGATTGCTTGAGGCTAAGCGGTCAAGGTGAGCTGTGCTCAAACCCCCACGCTCCAACCTGGGTGACGGAGCGAAACCCTATCTCTTTAAAAATTAACAAAACAGTAAAATCTGTTTAAAAAATGAGCCGGACTCGGTGGCTCAGCCTGTCATCCCACGCTTTGGGAGGCCGAGGTGAGTGGCTTGCCTGAGCCCGCGGGGTTGAGACCCGCC